TTTCTTTTTGAAGCATTGATTATTTAGTCTCTAAAATATCAAAAAATAGTGAAACCTGCTCATCATAAAGTCATTGCTTTAGCACTACTTACTTAGGAAGTAAAGTAAAAGTAAAATCCAAATTAAAAGTCAAGTTATTAATTATCAGAAACTTAGTTCCTTTTCTCAACCCCACAAGCTTATAATACACTGACTGCCACTATAAAACATGGAAATGCACCAATTCTTAAAAGTTGAGAAGGTCAAACCAGTGAATGTTTAGTATTTTTACCAATTCTCTACTTTTAAAAATCTAAAGATGTGTTTCTACAAATCCCTTTTTTTCACTGTTTTCATTATTGTATAATCACCTGAAAGTAAGACTCATTATGTTTTTGTTACCTTAGCAATTCATCTACAGATGACGTGGGTCGCATCGAATGGGGCATTCGCATTTTTGCGCATTTCGTAGGAGTTCCGATGTGCAGCTACACCGCAAGAGGTCAGAAAATCTTACACACTGGACCTTTAAATTTAACAAAAGAAGCCAAGTTTGACAATTTAACAAACACACAAAATCAGTAACTGCTGTTTTCTCCTTGTGTGTTTATGCTAAGCTAACAAAAATGTTGGCTGTAGCTGTACAAGGCAGGTAAGTGTATTTCCCAAAATGTTGAACTTCTCCTTTAAATACTATCTAAACAGAAGCAGCTGCACCAGAACTCTCTGAAAGTGGCAAAACATGACTGAACATTCAGTGCTTGGCAGTTTTCAATACTCGGTGCTAAAGACACATTTTGACGACAATGAAAATGACTTTTGCTAAACTTGATTCTGCAGTTAAAATCAATGTGCCAACCTTCTCCGCACTGAAACTATCAATTTATACCACGCAGCACAGACAAAATAAAAGCCCCCACTAGGCACAATATCAGTAGAGAGTTTTATGTGTTGCAGAAAAGGGTTACCACAAGAAAGTGTTTTCATTTGCCCAAACAAACTTTGTGACCGTCTACAAAAACCACGACCACACAGGCGCAGCACTCTCACAACCTGGTATGCCATTATCAGCAGAAAACTGTCTCTCAGCCTGTGTTTATGCATCCAAGGAATTGGCTAATTGGTGGAGGGGAGCTGCCGTGTTTTTAAATGCACTCAAACCGATCTCGCATTAAGGCCTCAGCCCTCACGAACACTGATAGTGCTGAAAATACAGGTGGCTGTGGTGAAGTAGAGCATGGTGAAGATGTTTATATAAAACACAATTAAAGTGTTGTTTGGGTTTAAAAATGAAACATGAGACTATAAAAGTGTCTGAGCGTCTGCTGCAGGCTGGAGGAAGCTGCTGGAAGCTGCCCTTGAATAAGATCACGTATTGTGCAACCAATTTCATTTAAAGGGGAAAACCAAAAAGGATCTGTGCCTCAGTGCACTCGTTCCTATCAGTTACTCAGAAGCTCACTGTGTTGTTGCATTCACGCTTCGTTGTTCTGGATGGAAGCTTTGTGCTCGTGATTCCATGTAATGAGCGATGATCAGCGTTTCATATTTGTTGCAGTTTTGTGTGCAAGCTGCAGTTACAATGACACAGCAAATGCAGAAGGTTGTAAACTCTTCTTGCTTCAGTGTAGATGAATGAACATGGGAGGGGACAATAGAATCGCTCATCCATTTTTTATCACGTCTGCATGGCCTTCAAAGGCCAGTTTATGTTGCCTATATGGCACCTGAGTAACCTGTGAGCCTGTGGGGGAAGGGTTGCTAGGTAGCTGCCACCTGGGAAGTTTTTTTTTTCGCCTTCCTGCTTTTGGAAATGGCTCTAAACCTACAGCCACCCTGTTAATTATTCCACTAAAGACTCCACAACATTACAGTACACTCCTTTTCTTTAATTACTTTAAAACATATGATAACTGTGCTGATAATCAGACTGATTTGCCTTTTGATTTATCTTTATTTTTCCGTTATTCTATATGTGTAATTGGTTGGTAATGTGGGTCGTAATTCAGAGGAAAGAAAACAAAAACATCACTAGGACTGTACAGAATAGAGAGGGATGAACAAACTAACTAAATAAATCAATATTACAAGTGAAATAATAGTTGCAGCACATTACTAAATACAGGGATTTTATATTTGAACTATGTTACAGGGTTGACATTATTGGATATTTAAAAAATGGTGTGTGTTCTGTCAGTAGTTTTAGCCAGTGTCTTAATGGTATTGTTGTCCCGTCCCTGCAATAACTCAGGTTTCTCTACATCTGTTTGCGCTACGAGTAAAAATGGTTTGTATTGACTAGGCATGTGTAGATTAGATAAGGAAGGACGCAGAAGGATGCAGAGGTCGAGAATCACTGATACTGAAAATGTCTACATTTTTGTACAAAAGGGTGTGTAAATAATCATCTATTGTGTCCAATACAAATATTTATATTTTACAGTTGAAAAAATAACTTGGGAGTGTTTTATTTAATTGGAAAAGTGTTTAAAAATTACCTCAAAAGTATATTTTGGCATTTCTGTGCTGATATTTCTTGTTTGTTTGCTTAAGCAGCTGAAACTGGTATATCTGGTATAAGCTAAAGTTAGCTGATAATATTGTTCATACCTCATTAATTTGTATAACAGCATCAATATGTGCATACATGAACACCAAGTTAACAGAAAAGTGTATTTAGCGTATGTCAGAGACGTTTAAACCCAACACTGACCTTCTTCAGGCATTAGGAATGTTGTTATTTATTATGTTATACAGTATAAATATATATATCTCATTTTTCTTCATTTGTTTGCCTGGGGAATATCTGTCCTAGGTCCAAAAATTACTAATATGCTTAAGGGATCTCTGGTTCCAGTGAGTGGCTGCTTTTCTATTGTATTACAGTCTTAATATTACCCAGTCAGTTTATTCTTAGTCGCCAAAGTTCATTGGCAGTGACGTGAGCCCTGTCTTCTTATTTTATACTGTCTGGGCTGGGCTTTGGCGTTACATGTCACAAAAGAATCTAAATGTATTGTTTACTTTTTGTGTGATAGCACAAAAGGTTCCTAGGGATACCGTCAGACCAGTGTTCAGTGTAACAACGCTGACAACAGAGCGCACACAGGAGTGTCTCAGGAAAAATGATGACTAATTGAATTGATGTGTATAAGAATCAGGTAAAGCAGATGTTGTTTGAACCTCCTTCACTGTCTGAACAGCCCAGCCTCTGTAATACATAGTTAAAAGAGCTTAAAGCATTTCTACCTGACTTGTAATGACGCACCTTCGACTGCTGCTCTGTCAACATTACAGCGGTGATTGTGTTTAGCCACCAACAGCCAGCTTTTGTGTTCATTTGAGCAATCAAGGACACATGGGGAGGACGGGGTGGTGATTTCAGTGAAGAAATGCAATTGCAGCTGAGTCTGTGTCTTTGAGGTTAACTTATCACAACAGTAACCATATCAACAATGACCACCTTTAAGCTTATTAGGAGCGATTAAGGAGCTTAACTTGGCTCATGTCTCAAGTAAAGAGATGAAATAGCATGCTTGTTTCCAATTTGGGCTCTGGCCAAACAGCCGCAACACACTGTGTTGCACTTTTGACTCCACACAAGTTAAAAGGGTATGTTTTAAAAGTCAGACCACAAATACTGGTGGACCCCCCGCTTGTGTCTGACTTGAGGCTATGAAACATCCACAAATGAGTCGTAACAGTGCAGGTAGAGGGACATCTGTGCCTCGCAAAGCCTGGGAGTCTCTGTTTCTACTTCCCCCAAACAGACACCTGTTGTGCGAACTGACAGGTGGGCTCTTGAGGCTCTTGGAAGTCCCAACCTGCTGGTGCTGGAGCTTGAGCCTTGAGGGCAGATTCACTTCACCTTGTATAATCCCTGACTGTGTGCACCGGTGTCTCCTGCAGAGCTTAAATGCGAGACAAAGACTACCTCTGTGCATCAGAGCAAGGTGAGAAGTGGCTTTCATGTGTACCAATGCCTTCAAACAACTGTCAATATCTTTAAGATTAGACTGATCAAATTAAAAGGGGATCGTTTGCCAGTGTTTATGTAGTTCAATGTCAGTGGCACGGGGGTTTAAATTGAGGTTTAGAGGGTATGAGGGCACAACGTCGCACCTGAGAAGGCTTATATGACTGCCAGATACTGATACCAATGCACGTCACACACAACAGCAAATGTTAAGAGAGGACTTAAAGCTTAAATCTTTAAATCCTCCACTGTGCTATCAAACCATGCAAGCAAGAGAAGAAGCAGCTGTTATCCAGGCTGTTTAGTTCCTGCATGCCAAACACTGTGGCAAAATAAAAAGGACTTACACACCTCTGTATGTTTTCATCAGACTGGACAGACAAAAAAAAGGGTTAGGGTTAGGGTTAGGTGAGTGTGAAACTGTAGATGTCTTGCTCGGTGATGTTTACATGCTACACGTGAGCATAAACCCAGATACATTATCTCACAGATCTCTTAGTCCAGGATGGAAACATTTCAAAGCACAAGTGGAACTATTACTGCACTCGCAAATACTGACAGTAGAAATAGAGACACAAATGATCTCTTGGTTGTTCTTAGTTTCCACGTGAGGCGTTCAGAGGGCTAGCCTTGGTGTCACCGGTTGTTAATGAAAACAGAGATTAGAGGGGATCATGGCAGGCAGAGTGGTTCAGTTTGGAGCTGACTGCTGACAGAATGACCTGGGTTACCATGAACGGGCCTGACACAGCCCGTCTCAAGGTCAACAAGGAATAATGTGCAGTAGATTAGCTGCTTCATATTAACTATGATGACCTGGGGGGGGAATTAGAGCTGAGTGGGGCAGGAAAGCAGGGAAAGTATGAGCTTGTATTTCTGACCTGGTTTGTTGCTGAGGGAGTGACAGGAAGATAGACTTTGGCTGAAAAACTAGTGCAGCTGTAGTGTGGATAGTGCATAAAGGGAAGTCATTTTTAAATATAAGTAGGCCTATACATTTTTTGAAGTGTTGTTCTACAGTGCAATCTAAAAGAAGCCATCCTACCTGTAGCTCACACCATGCCACCTCCACTGTTGTCTCTGTGTCAAGTCCTTTATATACCGTCTTGAAGGACCCCCTTCCAATCTCTATGTTGAATTTGAGATATCTTCCATCAGGTGAGGTTGCAACCGCTTTGGTCTCCACGTCTTCTTTCTCCTCCTGCTCCCACTGAGTATCAAAAGTGATGCGAGACAAGACCTTGTGCTGTTTGTGATGAAGTTCATTTTCAGACTCCGAGCTGGCGTCCTGGGCGCTGGTTTTCGGGTTCCAGGTCCCGCTGAGAGAGCCGGCGTCAGGCTCCTGGCTGCAGGGGGGCGTGTTGGAGCTGGTGCCCGGGCTGGAAACTGGGGACGGCGACGGCGGATAGTCGTCGGTTTTCTCCTCCTCTGCTCTGGACTCGGGCAGCGTTAATATATTCTCAGCTGACCAGGACAAGGCTTTGGAAAGGGCGCCGCTGTACAGAGGCGAATCGATGTCCACGCTAATTTTCTGCAGCCCGTAAGAGTTTCTCCGTGCGCCCAAACCGTGCGCCCTGAGCACGGATGGCACCCGGGATAAGCAGTCGTCGGTCATATCCATAGAGAGGCCTGGGAAACCGCGTCCTGGTATCTCAACCTGTGCGTGTGACATTGTAGCAGGTTCAACGCCTTCTTGATTCAGAGCCTAAATGTGGAAATGGCATCAAGACAATAGAGTACCGTTACGTCAAGTTCCAAGTTACTTTTCCATGATGTCAATGAAGCCAGAGGCTTTAAACAAAGGCTGACCACAAAATAACGCGTCTGGTACATGAATAACAAAGACAAGATTAAACGTGGCTATCTATAATATCTGAACTGGCATTACCTGTAGCTACAGTCAGGAATATCTTTTGGTAAAAACACAGAAAAGTAACAACAGTGTACTCACTCATCACAGCCGCTGCGTAAAGAAACATTCATAAACTCATTGCGCACATAAACGCAGATTAACGCATTGTTCCTATCACATAATCGGAGTTGTCCTCTTCTCTTCTCCTTACAAAGTCCTCAGCCATAACCTCCAGTGAAAGGACGGCGCTGCCTATATCAACAGAGCTCCGGAGGGCTGTGCGTCCTGTGCGCTCCGAGTGCGCGCTCCCAACTCCGCCCCCCGCAGCTTGGACGCGCTAATAGGACTGTCCAGAGGGAGTAATTACACTATAATCAGAGGAGTGTTTGCAGACTAATACTGTTTCAAGCCCAAACAGTTCATTAGAATGTTTTTGTTTGCCAAAAAAGATTTGTGTCTTTAAAATCTGTCGTCTCCGGACTGAGTCGTATGAGATGTAAAAGAAGGGTGTTTCAGAGATGACCCATGAGCTTAAATTCTTCACTGACATTTCTTCGTATTAATTAGCTGGATATGTGCCAGACTTAGGTCTTCCACTGAACTCAAGAACAGGATGTCTCCTCTTCTAATTGGTCCGTCATTGACCAGCGCAACTTCTCTAGTTTCTCTGAATTAAGATCCAACTGGTGAGTCATTTCACTACAGGTTTCTCTCATTCTGTCGTCATTCGATCATCCTGAATGAGAGAGATATGCAGCCCAAGGAGGGGAATGTGCGGGTCAGACCTGGAGAGGGAGCCACACCGCGGAGAGTTGCTGCAGCTGCTGCTGAAACAGGACACCTTTATCAGCCAAGGCCACACAGGGCCCCACCTGCTCCACATGTGTACACGCTGGGTGTTATCAGAAAATAACACACCAGATCCCCCGGAGCTGTATCATCCCCACAGGCAGGGACACAGCACATGATGTGAGTGGACCATCAAGTGTGCAGTCATTCAGTACAGCTGCAGGCAGAAAGTGGAGCATAACATCTCCATCACTGTGGTTGGAGTCTGCACGTCTGCACACTGCGGGGCACTGTTAATGCCATCACTTCTGTTTTTAACACTTCTAAACACAACTCAAGAATGTAGAGGACATTTTAGAGAGAGAGAAAAAAACAAGCAAATTTATCAAATTTCTAATTTATTTTTCTACAGGATATGAAAAAAGTTGGTTGGATATACACAGAGAAGGAGAGCGAGAGGAGAACAGGAGTGTCACAGTAGCTACTGCACAATAATAGACAGCAATCTGTACATGAAGTCCACTATTATTACACGCAGCTGAGTCGAGCCAGGATTGGTGGTCCAAGTCTCTGTGGTGTTCCTCTTCTGGAAGCATTTATTCTCAAAATAAAAAGTCCCCCTGGTGTTGTGTTGTGGGATTTCTTTGGGATGTCTGGTTGGAACAGAGGAACAACCGCCGAGCAAACGGCCCACAGCTAATTATACCCAAATTTGTTAACATGGAAAATCAGGGATAAAAGTTGTTGTATTTACAATAAAGAAAGAGTGACGTTACAGCTGATGGGGAGAGATTTTCCCCGGGAGTATTCAGACATGATAGTGTTTACCCTGATAAGACTCATTGCATGTTTAAATGGCAACAAATGTTACCTCAAAAAGAGTGACAACTTTACCCCAACACTTCAAAATGATATCGGTTGTCTTCCAATAAGAAAAGGCTTTGAACTTGGGCAAAGCAAAAGGCAACAACAACTGCAGGACCAGCATCCTTTGGGCTGGGTTATGAGGTGCACCTTGTATAGCCTTAAATGGCTCAATCTTAAACATTTCCTGTAAGGTACAGTATGACGGCTCCCAGATAAGAGTGGGTGTGTGATTCCAGCACTGTTTCAAAAGAATTTGACCCCCTTTCCATCATCAATGGTGATGATCTCTGCTTTGCCTTCTGTTTGTAACGCCTGCAAAGAGCGCAGCAGCATCCACTCCTCCAAACCGTGGAACTCTGGAGAAACAGATTACAGTTCATGTATGAATGTACAATAAGAATAATAAACTATTATTGTACAGCACCTTTCAAAACAAAGTGGCATGGTGTTTTGCATGGGAAACTCAAGAAACATTTCCAAGGCTACAGCTGTAGAAAATAAGGCAAATAAAAGTAGAAACAAAGGATTTAGGATTTAAAAAATGAGCTAAAAACATTTTAAAAAGGTGTCATACCTTCACCTTCTGTGTCATCACCGTTGGACAACTCGTAAAGTGTGAACACAGAGTTGACCATCCCATTTTTGGAAACCTAAAATGTCAAAGAACAGAATAACGCTCAGTGAGAAAATAAGCAAACATTAATCTGTTTCGCTCCGACGGTCGAGGACAGGCACAACACGCGTTCTCTTTGGATGACTCCATTTTCTGAGAAAAGGTTTGGGAATAAGTTCTTCTTTCATACTGGAGGAATGAGATCTGGAGCAGGTGGTTATAAATAGAGGTGCAGCAACTAATGTTTTGACAAACTCAAAGTCTTCATCACAAATGAAGAATGTTGGATCTGCTCGTAATAACTCATCCAGCTGGGACTTCTACCTTGGCTTTGGTCTGTTTTTGATCATCCCTGTCACAGATTGTTAGAGCGTACGGCTGATATTCTATACTTCTGTTAATAAATCAGATGAAAAGACCAAAACAAACCATACTTTACTCAAGCTCTCAACGCTTATTGAATTCCTGAGCCTGTGGCACTCAGCTGCAAACACACTGGCTCCTCAGGAAGGCATTCATCTTTAAAAAAGGCCTCGCTAATATACACTGTGCTATTAATAGTTTTTAGACATGAATATATCAATTCACTGATGGCTTTGGTATTTTCACTGGATCTCTTGACAATAACAAAAATATAAAAGATATCATCAGCACCCATTCTTAAAACTTAAAAACATTCAAAGTGATGGGTTGCAATCAACTATCCAGAACATTAACAACCACACTGTGTGCACGCTCTCCTTGTGTGTTTGTGGGCTGCTGTGATGTTGCTCACACAGATTACAGAGACCCAGTCCAGAGGACATTGAAGAATACTTACAGCAGAAAGCTGACTGTAACCCAGTTATTTAAATGCATGTAAACGACTGTGGAGAGTGCTCATCGTTTCATCCTTTTGTAGTTAGTTATTGCCACATATTCTGCGTTCCATGTGTATATAAATAGCTCCGTCCTTAGGGACTCGGCTTGGGAACCGGACGGTCGCCGATTCAAGTGCAGCATTGCTCCTCTCTCTCTCTCTCTCTCTCAGCCCTGTGTATGCGATTGTAATTTGGGCTTGTGTGTATAAAGAAACTGAGTGAAATTAATAAAGTTCTTCTCCGTCTAAAAAGGTAGTACCAGAGTCACTTCTGTAATTATCTTAGCTGTCTGAATAACAACAACACAAAAATACTGAACAACAATCTCTGACAGCTGTAAGTTACACTGCTTTCAAATTTAGCTCTTATTGATTGCTTAAGAGAACATTTCCTTCTTTCTTTCCATTTATCCTTCATCAGCCCCACAAATGTACAAAAGTGTACAGTTTCACAGACAGTACAGTATGTGTCTCAAGTTGACTCACCCACTGGTATATTAACTTGCCCCATTCCTCCGGTCGTCTCCACATGACTAAACACCGAGACTTGTTTTTGTCCAACCATTCGAGGTTCCCTGAGGTGATGAATGATTACAAAATGTTTATTACTGTTAAAAAGTGTTTTTTTTATCTCAACACTGCGCAAACATCTAGACAGGACAAAATTTACCTTTTTTCCTCAATTCTTCAAACACAACTTGAATTGCTTCCATTGACAGTTTTCCTGAAATTCAGTTAAGGAACAAAAATGAACAAATGTGCACGAGTTACAATCAGTGTCTCGATATTCAGTATGAAAAATAATATAATATAATATAAACACTGTACAAGAGAGAAAAAACTGTAAGAAACCACAACAGATAGCAGCTATATATACTAGTCCTCATGTAGATGGACAATAAATCTTACTGGAGTGGATATATTGGATGACACAGGACTGTTTTTGTGGGATTATTAACTGATTCCCAGGTTTACAATGAGGCTTCTTGGGTGAGTTGGCTCAATTTTATGATTGCTTGCTTGCTAGTTTGAGGCGCCGATTGTGCCTGCTGTTGGTGAGATTATGATGTCAACGGCCCGGAGGTTAAAAGAGCACAATCTGCGTTTAGCATTACTCTCTAAAAACAAAAACAGGAAAGGCTTCATACAACTTTTCTCATATATGCACTAGTACTCCCCAACACATGTCAACACACTTTGATATGTAAAATCAGTGGAGTTCCCCTTTAACTCCGGTAACACCAGGAAAACTGACTGGTGACTGGAGATATGACCACGCTTCCTTTGGTCAAACTTCTATTCACCAAAACCAAGAGGAGAACCTCGTAATAAAGGGACTGCAGCTGTGTAGAGCAGGGGTTTCTAAATGTTTCATCCTAAGGACCCCCAGAAAGATGCACATTAGATCACGGACCACCAATTCGAGAGTATTTTGTCTTAAGGAAGGTTTTAGGTTTGAAGATAATAACGTCTTCATGGTCAGTCAACGATAAAATGTTCAACGCTTTCCTTCATCTTTCCTTGTTCCAAACAATGTGATGAAAGTGATTCACTCAAGGACCCCTGTTGGTACCTGGACCACAGTTTGAAAACCACTAGTGTAGAGGGCAGCTAGCGAGTCAAACCTTCCCTGTCTGTAAACATTAATATAAACCTACAAACCTGTGACTGGCGATCCAAATCAAACACACTTGATGAGAGCTGTATAATATATGTAATGTATAAAACTGACTGGACCCACAGGTGCACTGGTAAAGGATACGTTCTATCTTCTTGTTGTTGAACACGGGGCTTTCCTGAGCCTCCATGACGTCCAGGGTGTAGAGCTTGTGATGCCGGCAGTAAGACAGAGCCAGGGAACACCACGCCGCCAGCTGTTTCTGTCTCGTATCAACATTGGGCTGTAGCCTGTCCACGCAGAGAGTAAAAGACACAAAGCACACTCATCAAGCAAGCTATCAGCGCTGCAAACACCAGGCAACATTCAATCTATCGGGACATTTAGTGCTCGTTAAAAAGTTGTCTCGTGCTTTCCTTGCAAAAAATGTTTAACTGACATTCAGGTCATGATGATAGTTGGCAGCTTTCATCTTCTAAGAAGGGTTTTTATTGTTTGTGTTATTTGTTATTTGAAAAAAAACTATTTAAATCATGATGATGTGACATTTTTTGGGGTCTGTACAAAACAAACATGTTTGGGTTTTAGTTTTTTTACAGGGCATCTCTGCACAACAACAGTACTTCACTGTAATGCTGTTGTGTTATTTTGCGAAGTTCGACTTAAATTTGTGTCTGTTGATTTTCATCTTTTTGTGTGTTTTGTGAATATTTAGATAAGTGGAGTGTGTGGAGAGGGTGACAGACTTCCGCTCCCTGGGAGTCCATATCCAGGAGGACCTTTCCTGGAGTGTGAACACCAAATATTGCAGAAAAAAGCCTTTAATGAAGAGCAGACGCTGTTATAATACCGTATTAACACGGTTTATGTTCAATAATCACATATTAAACATCGACTTCCTAAGGGGATCCCGAACAACAGTGCAGTGTAGATTTCTTAATATGAGAGAGCATGCGGACCACACACTAATGCCAGTTAGACGGATTAAGTGCATAAAACAGGCGACTACATTCAGTTTGAGCCGTGTTAATTTGTCTGGTGATAATTTACAAGGAATAATCAGAACTTCTGAAGAAAAAAAAAGAGGCAGGCAGCAGATAAAACTCAACACACAAGCAGCGATTTACAAAACCCCCGAAACACTTCAGAGAACACTTACCAACCGTCTCTGCGATCACTACTTTAAAATAGCTGCCAGTGTGCACTAACTGGCCCGTAGCACAAAGCAAACAGTTACAGCTGGTATCAGGGCGCAGGGGACGATTATGTTCCCTGTATTCGTCTTGTTATCAGAGTTCAATTTGTTTTACGGGAATTTCCCCACTGAGGTTTTTCTCGGTATTGTCCAGCCGGTTGAAGAAATGTGTGACCCTGGAGGATCAACTACACCCTGTACCCCCCTACTGACCACCACGTTCTGCTGCCACCGCTTTTAAAAGGTGTGACTCTGTCCAAATACTCATTTTACACACAATTATTTAACAATTACCAAAATGTGAGAGCCTTTTTTATTTCTGCAACCCAGCGTGTGAGCATGATAGTGGCATTGAATGGCTCCAATCACTAAGCAGGCCGTGTAATCTGATGGGATACAGAACTGACTGTAACACTGGTTAATACTTGGAGGACTTATCAGTGTTAAATCAGTGTTTTTGGTGCCTGGCAGCTGAAGTTAAAGCAGTGCTGGCTCACAAAGCTGGAGCTAACTAAACTCCACCACATTAACACTTCATACGCATGTAAGTGGAGCATTTGTGGGTCGCAGAATGAAAACAAGAGGAGGCTGGGTGTGGAAATCCACTTCCCTAGCGATTTTGGTTTAGCCGCTTAGCCGGCTGACGTGACGGCAGCTCGCAGTTTAACACGTTTTTCGACCCGTAACATTTCAACAGTGCAGGTTAATACACGGAGGTACTTCTTTTTACTCGACCCTCGGTTAAATGTGGCCCAGAAAAAGACTGACTCACGTAAAAAACGGTGGGAAGTTATATTGCCAGGGCCACTCAAAGCTCATTGCAGTAGATGTTCACAGCTGACAGCTTCCGGAAGCGCGTCCCACCTCTCAAATGGTTCCGACGAACTACACAGATCGACCGAAGCGTTTTTCAAAATAAATTAAATTATTGGGATAAATAAAGAATAATAAAAATAAAAAATACATATTCATGAATTAATTATAGAATAATAAACACATGTATTTATGAAAAAATAAGGTATCTATCTATCTATCTATCTATCTATCTATCTATCTATCTATCTATCTATCTATCTATCTATCTACTATATATAATATATGATACACAGATTGGCATTAGTGTGTTCGTCGCAGCTCCCTCATATTAAGAAATCTACCTCTATATATAATAATATTATATTTGAGAAACTTACGGGATAATAATTCAAAATAAAAATCCAATTTTAGCGAATAAATATGAATAAAAATAACATATTATAAATTAAAGTAAAAGAATAAGTATACACATTGTTTTTATGAAAAAATAATATCTATATAAAACTTACGATAATAATTCAAAATAAAAATCAATTATGGAATAAATATGAATAAAAATACATATTCATAAATTAAGTAAAGAATAATATACACATGTTTTTATGAAAAAATAATATATGTATATATATACAATAACTTACGATAATATTAAAACATAAGTGTATAAATTATTGTAAAACGTATTAATGTCATTTAAAAACATGTTATAGAAGTTTATATGATTTATATGAATTACCAATGGTGGAAGATAACATGTACATTTACTCAAGTACCTCAAGTACTGAGCTTTTTGGAGGTACTTTATTTATTTATCAGTTGGGACCAGGGTTTTAAAATCTGACAAAATATCTATTATGTATGTAATAATGCAGTAATAATATATTAAACAAACTAGTAGATTCTAAGTAAACAGTTTTATGGTCATTCCTGCCTGTGGTCATCAAACTATACCAACGCCTCCCTCGAGAAATCAACACCCCCTTCTCTGTAATCTGACCTAAACGGGACAATCAATTTGCACTTTTTGCACATTTTAACTATATATATATATTTATAAATATGTTCTTTAAATATTATGATGTTGTATGTATATCTGGAGTTTGTAACAAAAGAAATTTCCCCCTGGGATTATTAAAGTATTTCTGATTCTGATTCTGATTCATACTTCTTCTCAACTAGAAAAAATTACTACCCAAAAGTATATAAACCACCTTGACCAAGCAGCAACATTTAAAGGCTGCTTACACTTTAAGGCAACAGTAATATTAAAAAATAATATAACATACGTAACAAGAACACAATTCTTTTACTTATATTGATGATCCTACTTCTGTACTTGAACTTGGTTTAATATTTACACCATATAGTTGTGAATTCCACCCATCTTTATATTTACAGACATGTTTTCATGAGCCTTTTGACAAGAATAAATAACAGCTGTTCTTTTTTTACAAAGTTATTTTTTATTATGGAATAACTTGTGCATTTTCAACAACATTCAGCATAAATATGCCGTCTATTTCTATTTACAGATCATACATAAATCTTTTCTAGAATCCACTTTTCTGGTTCATGGTTCAGACTGATTTTACTTCCAACTGTCAAAAATGTATCACTAGTTTATATTTCTAAGGTGTTATTTATACAGTTTCTTCAAGTACAGCATGATTGAAAAATGGCATTTTACAATTCAGTGGAAAATAAACTATAGTTGGCACAAGTATTCTATGTCACCATCTGCTTCACAGCAAGATGCTGGTATTAATATTTCTTTTTATACATTTCTATATTACAATAAAATTCATGGGTAGAAATGAGACTGAAAAACAAAAACACAATATTAGAATACAATCTCAGTTATTGCCATATGTGATATACTGTAATTTCAAATTTAAAACAATGTTTAAATGTCATTAAACTTTCTAAAATAAAGATGGAAGCGGTCATTGATCATTTCTTAAAGAGAGCATTAATGCATCCGTCCAGGTTTGACTTGGCTTCTGTTACCATAGCAAACCAAAACAATTGAAAATAAAAATTAACAATTAAAATCTCCAGAAAGTGACTTTGTGAGATTAAGACAGCTAGAGAGAGCATTATGATACAGTCCTTCTTCCACCCAAGCAACAGGCTCAACAGACGGG